ACCCCGGCGGTCTCCTCTGTAGCCCTGCCAGAGCCAATCCGGCGACTGGCTGTAATAACTAGGACAAGCCGCTTCCTGGTTCTCAGAAAGGAGGAGCTGGGAGTCGGAGTGGGCGAGCGGAGGCAGAGCGCTGAGTGGAGGGGGTCAGAGGAGCCCCGGCGGTCCGCAGAGACAGCAGGAGAGGGGACAGGAGAAAGGACACTTGGTGAGGAATAAACCCCCCTAACTAACACTGAGTAGAGGACGGAGCGTGTATTTCAGAAGACAAACGCTGTGAGGATTTAAAAAAAGGGGGAATTTAAAGCTGTATAAGAAGTCGTCAGGGTGGGACGGAATAATCCAGGAAGTGTTCGCCAGGTGGGAGGCGACGAGTTGGGACAGGTGACACTCTGGTACTCAGGTAACCGCTTCTTCCAATTCCCCTTCAAACGACTCATAAAAATAACGCACTTTACATAAATATGAGTTATTTTGTGCTTTAACCGCGGCAAGAATAAAGCTTCCTGGCCGTTTCTGCTTCAGCACGGTGACATGAGTGACTTTCCACCTCTCTGATATTCTCTCTCTAGATATGAAAGTGTAGAAAATAAAAGTTGGCGGATGCGGCTTCTATAGGAGATGTGCGATTTAGGTGAGACAGGAGAGGAGCGGGGTCGGCGGGTACATTTCTGAACACCGGGCTGCTAATTATAGCCGAGAACACCGGCTGACATCCAAAACCTAACCTGCTCTCACGCACATCCACCTGGACGCGCGCGCAGTCACTAGAAAGTATGGCAAGACATTAGTGCCAAAAATGGATGCTTTTTTCATTCGATCTTGGAAAAAGATGGTGCATAAATAAAATATAAGATTAAATGTCCAGAATACTGTATTTTGTATACTACTGTTGAAAAACATTTGAACACTGAGCATTCTACTTAGTAGCAAAATACCCTTTATATTTCACTAGTCATTGACTGGTGACAACTTCACCTTTTTGTTTCTTAGTGGCAGAAATGTGGCATTTGATGATGAGCTAAAAAGACATTTAATCATTGGTGATGTTATGAAATTTAATGAAATCCCACCAGTAGAGTCAGGGAGCCATAATAGTTGTGGTAAAACGTATTACTAGTACTACTTACTTACTAAAAAACTATATATTTCTCTTTCTTTTACTGGTTTTCTCTCTTATTTCTCTTTTACATCTTACTGGTGTTTAGTGACACCTGTTAATGTCACAAGACTACTGAGATGGAGGCTACTGGACTTTTGGTTGTTTTTTCTGAAAAGGTTTCAGCATCTATTCCAGGATCTTTGCCGGCTCTGGCAGTGCAGATAAAAACTGGATGTGAGAAGCCTGGTTGTCTCAATTGAAGTCTGCTTTATGGTTGCTATGAAATGGATGATTTCAAAATTTTCACTGAGACTTGTTTTTGTATGGCTCATGGTTATTTTACCTGGTTAATAAAGATTGCTTTTTTTTCTTTTTTTTTTTACACAGAGCAGCTTAGCTCAGCTTGTTTATGAGTGGGGGTCAAAAAATTGTGGTAAATGATCTCACAGAATCTGGGGCACCCACATTTTGAAACCCTTTGAGTTGTGCATGACCTTACTTGTAGGTTGTGCATTTGTAAATCTATCTATGTGCCTTCCGGTACTTTACTGCTTAGTTTTTGTTTAAGGTTGTGGTTGTAATAAATGAACGGCATTGTGTTGGACTGAGAATCTTTCCTGCAGCCAGAGATAGTAGTACAATAAACTTCAGAACTTAATCATTGGGCTTGCATTTATGAATATACAAAGGAAATATTTCAGCCTTGTTTAATTATCACTCTTAACATTCCCTCCTTTGCTGATAGGTGGGAAAAGTGCTAATATTTGGCAATAATGGCTTGCCATAGTTCTACTGGATTTAGCCTTCTGTGCTAATAAAAGATCTCCCTACAGTGGTCTGTTAATCATCATCATCATCATTATCATCATCATCATCCCCACGGCGCACCCAGTGTTTTATTTTAATCCTGACCCAATCCTGCATTACAGCAGGATACATGCTCAGGCTGTAATGTTAGGTTAAGGCTTCTGCCTGCCACACTGGGTGGGGAGAAGACTGTCAAGCCAGTGGGCTTGTGTGTTTGTGTGTGTCTGTGTGTACTCATTATAGAGGTAGATGAGTTGCTGACTCGCCCCTCTGACAGACCGGCCTGACTAGCTCAACTCGTTTGGGTTTGGCTTCTTTATCTTGGCCGCAGCAAGTTGTTTAAATCTTTAGGTCTTCGTACTGGTAAATTATCGCTTCCACTCGTGAGTAAAAATTAAATTTGGAAAGAAAAGAAAAAAATCTATCCCATTTTAATTTGACGGCACCATTCCAGACCGGCGGGACCTTTCCAAACTGACATACGCTCATGATTTTGCAACAAGCTCTTAATACCAGCTTTGTTAACCTAGCAACTATTTATGTGCAACACAATTAGACGGTTGTGTTTCATCCCTCACCTCTGGTGTCCTGACCTGACTCCGTCATGCTTAGCTGTCTGCAGGCCTGCTTGCATCACGCATTTATTTACACTTGATCTGCATTAGACAGAGGCCAGTATGAGACTGTCACGATATGTTAACCTGGAGTAGGAATTAGAGATACATGTTTTAATCTGCCTGCAGCAAATTAAAACAGTTTTAAAATCAATAATTTGATCTTTAATCAGGAGATCAAAAACTCTTTTTTTTTTTTTTTTTTGCTATTTAGAAAATGCATCGACCACCAGTATGAAGTTTAATGCAAACTTCTTTAGTTTAATTAAAAGCAAAGTTTGTTTATGTATTTTTCAATGCAGCATGAGTTTTTTTAATACATGATGGCTTGTTTTGTTGCCCAGTGATAAACTGGTGACCTGTCAAGAACTTACTGTGTTTGCCACCCAATAACTGCAGGACATCAGCAACAGCCCCCCTCTGCAGTCCTGCCTAGATAGGCGGGTATAGACAAAGGATTGATGTTTCAGTGAGAACAATATTGTATTTTTTCTTATTCTGGTTGATTGAAAACTATTATCTCCATGCAAAAATATATCCAGCATATTTATATTAAATATGTTCTAACCCTTAAACAATGTCAATCAATTTAGATTGTAATGCACAAATGAGCCTCATAGGCAAAGTGTTAGTAAAGCAATAATAATGTTGCATATAACTGATATCTCCAGCTAATGTTTATAGCCTAATTGTTTTTTAAAAACACATTCATTAGGATGGCACATGCTTTCTACGGTAATTAGGCGAATGCACTCTGGACAGGTCTGGTTATGATAACATATGAACTAAAATTATTAAGATTGCTGCTATTCTGGTTTTAAGAAACAGACCTAATCAGAAATTTAAAACAATTAATCAATAAAGCTCAGCAGACATTAATCAGAGGTTATTAGGCAGAATATTTGACTTTATTCCCCTCACAGATTCCTTAAGTTGATTTTAGCTGGTTTAAAAAGACCAGCTATACAGTTTGGACTTCTAGTTGGCAGTTGGCTGCTTTATAGTAGCCTCCTGAGACCATCCTGATCTCGCAAGCTTTCAAGATTTCACTCGCTAATCAGTCTGGAGACTCTCCGTTGAAGAAAATTTGGAGCCGTTCACTAAACGAACGTCCAATCAGCGTTGGCTTTGAGGCGTGACGCAACAAGAAGCGCGACAGTTCAGTCTAAAGAACATGGCAGCTTCAGCCGATGAAATTAGCGTTAGCGTGGCTATCAAGCAAGTTTTATCGGAATTACAGAGTATTTCTTCACTGAAAGAAGAGCAAAACACTGCTCTGGAGGCTTTTCTCAGAGGAAAAGATGTTTTTGCTCTTCTCCTGACTGGTTTTGGCAAGAATAGCCTGGCTGTTAGTACGTCATATGCTTCGTTGATCTGATTGGTTTATTTGGCCCATCTATCACCAACATAGGCCAATTAGCTAACCAGTATTTTCACCCCTTCCCAAAATTACTTCTACGGAAGGTTTCCAGATGGATATGCATCTGGCGGAGTCAGGTTAGCTTTATAGACCCTCCACTTATATTCTATTAAATGACTATATATATATATATATATATATATATATATATATATATATATATATATATATATATATATATATATATTATATATATGTCATTTAATAGAATAACTAATATACACTTTTTTGAAGTTTGTTACTGTTCTAATTGAATTAAAGAATTTATGTCTTGTTTTACTGTATGTAAAAAAGAACCTGTCTTTTGGTGAAAAAAACAGAATCTTTTTGAATATTGAAAAATCTATGTTTTCTAACTGTTTTTCTTTTATGCAAACAAAAAATACTTTACTTTCTATTTCACAAGTAGAAATGTTCCAAATTTGTCCATTTTTTTTCTTTTTTTGATAGAAACGAATGTAGCATCCCACCTGGCTTGGTCAATTGGCAATAACAGGTGCGGGGGGCGTAAAATATGGCTTACTTCATGCTCTGCTGTGCCAATGAAAGCCTCACCTTGGGCACTTTCTTTCATTTATGTAGTTGTTTAGGTCAGTTTCTGGTAAGTCTTGATACCAGTAACTGTTCTGGGATTAATCAGCATAGTCAGGCTTTCATTTCAATTTTATTTTCGAAAGAGCTGGAAACATGAGGGAAATACAAATACTTCCCACATGCCAGCACCTCTGTGGGGTATGTAATAATCATGTCTGTCTGTGAGACATATGTTTGTGTGGGCTTTCCTGACCCAACCAACTGCAGGAGGGCTTCTTTTTGAAAGAAGTCTAAACAGGAAGTGGTTGGTTTCTATCAGGTTTTTTTTTCTGTTCTTTGACAGGCCCCCCACCACCGCCACCACCCTTCATACTCCTGAATAATGTGATATATCATATGATCGTGTGTGGGTGTGCATGTGAGCCATTTGCATCTTTGCAGACTTACACATATTTCGCAAAACTAGAAATGAAACAAGTGTCTCTTAGTTAGGAAAGACGATCAGTTCCCATCAGTTCAGGATAACCAACATTCAAATTTGAAGAACTTCATTAGAATTTCTTTGCTTCCTTTTAGGTTTATGATAGCTGGTGTTTAAGTGAAAAAGGAGAAAGGAATAATCGTGCGAGAGACAAACAGAAGGCAGCCATCGTCTCCTGAGTGTATGGACTGGAGGTAAGAATCTTGGCAGGTTTTCAGAAAACTTTGCTGTCTGTCCAGGTGATAACATTTATGTATTTTTATTGGGCTACACCAACATTTATTTGACCTTTTATTCATTTTTACAACCATCAACCATTTATATAAAAAAAAAGACTTGATAGTTTTATTGAGGGTGTATTCTGTTTTATTGTAATAAGAATGGAAAAAAATCCCAAACACAGAAATTCAAAAAGCAAAATCCCAAGCAAACTACCTTTAAAAAAGGGGTGGGACTTTTTGAATAATACCCAACTCTGGACATTTCCCTTTCCTTATTTTAAGCTTTGAAATTGGTTTCTATTCAAAAGATGAATAATAATCTGCCCTCACATGGTTTGATATGGTAATACTTGAGGTGTGTGAGTTTTGTCATCGGATGAATTGCAATCATTGTGTTGAAATAAATGTATTTTTTTTCCCCTTCTGAAGATGTAGAAAACCATTGGGATTATTTATTATTTATATTCCAATGGCACACACATTTTTAATTATTTTAATAATGCTAGATCATCCATCTAGAATGTGAAATATAAACTGTCCAAAAATTGTGCTGCATGGGTGTTGGGGACGGTATGAACAAGCTGTCAAAATAAAAACCATGTACCAAAGATGTACACAAAAAAATCTTTAAGTCGCAGAAAAATGTAAACATTTTCAAAACCTGTCCTAATTTTATACATGAAGGCGCTTATATTCATGCAACAATCACCTATTTTTGCTGACAATTACTTGTAGCTTATCATATTACCATGTGATTGTAAACAGGTTGCCAAAAAGCTTGAATCCAGAGAAAAAAAAGTCTTTTTTTTTAAATTAATAATTGTAGTTCACTCTGTGATTGACCTCATCAAGCAGCCAAACCCACAGTTTTTTTAATCGGCAATGAGGATATTGATTATGCCCATATCTTCCACTCCTCTCTTCTTTTTTTTTTTCTCGTTGTCCTCAACACCTGACCTGAGCTTTAGCATCTGTGTCACTTATATCTACACTGTCTGAACACTTTACCTTGTAGACTTAGACATCAGCAATTTGTTGCTGGTTTCCGACTTGAAAAGTGTTAAGCAGACACTTTGGCAAGGACATTTTAAAGCTGAACAACCGACTCTTCCCGTCTGATACACAGCCGCCCCCATAAAAGAAACCTAGTTTTGAGTTTTATCTCATAAACCTGGTTACCTTTCTGACAGTTAACTATTTGCTTTGGGTGATAGAGGCAGAACTAGGTCGGAAATTATGGATTTTAGGGATTTCAATAGTTTTATATTTGGATGCATCGCATTAGGAAATCATTGTATCACTATGTTTGACAATCAGGATTTGTGAAATAAATTATCCATATTTTCTACACTCCATAAAATTCCTGACCTTCTACATCTTGGTCCCAAGATCCGTATCAAATGTGAGATTAGGAATGGTACAAGCCCATCAGAATGGCCAAAGAAAATATTAAAAGATAATTTAAATAATAAAGATTATATAATAATATAATAAAATATTATACTGCATCACATATATGGGATAGAACATATGGCAAATATTGCATAAAAAGCACATCTTTATGATTCAGATGTCGCATTAACTGATCTTGCAGTGATGATATATTGTGCTGCCCCACGTGGAAGCCATGTGGAAGCGGGTTATTCCCACAAAATTTGACTTTGGGCTTTTACTGTTTTAAGTTCTGACACTTCCCAAAAAGCCACGCCCAACCAAACTTTATGTAATTACTATCTCGGGGAACTCCTTCTAGATTATTAGAAACCCATCTCAGCTGACTACCACCTAAAGCTCATCCAGAGACAACACTTCAGCATACCAAGTAGGTGCAAAGGATACATTAAAACGCAGGAGGCCAAAATATATATTAGATATATTGACTTATTTTACTTTTCTGTTGTTTGCTACAAAATCCTGTGTGGTTTTACTTCATGCATTTAATGTAGTTTCCAGCTGTATTTAATCAACTAGGCTTATTAAGTCTGCTTTTGAGTCAGAGGGGATTTGGTCATTTTCAACCATGCTATAAACAGAAAAGCAAACAGTTTGTAAATGCAGATATTTTGTACATTTAAAAAGATTTTTGGTCTGTAAAAATCTTACTCTAAATAGTGTTTTTATAAAGTGTCTCTCAGGGTGACCCATTTGAGCTGGTGTGCCAGAGTTGAACCGTTCTTGAGCTATGGTCACAATACTCACAAAATCGTTTTCAGCACCACAAGGAGCCCATTAGCCACACTTATGGCTGCTGTGGTGTATAAGAATATTTTCTTTTTCAATTGTGAATATTCGGAAGCTTCTGTGTGGACCTGCTGTTAAGTGAAAATCAGAAAATGATTGTAGATGTGCAAACCCTTTGTCTCCAGTCAGATTTACTAATTATTTAGATTGTTGGTCCTACAGTAACATCACATAGCAATGCTATTCCACCAGGTTTCATCATTATTCAGGATAAATAATTCAATTCATTAAAAAATAAAATTGTTAAGGTAGTTAAACAGCCTTAACCTCTCCTTTATTTCCTTCCAGACTACTTTTCATGCTTTCAGTCAGTTCCTAACCGGTTGCATACAGATTGAGATAATCTGAAATCCATTTGCGCTCGTTTTTCAGGGGGAGCACTTAGATGAGAGCTCGACTAACTTCCTTGATATTGACTCCATCTATGTCATTGCATATCCTTTGCTTCTCTGACATAGTTTACACCACAAACACTTTGTGGTGGTCAAATTTTGGTGAACGGGAGGACGGAGGAGCCTCTTGGAGACCCCCCACCCCTCCCACCCCCGTCCTTGGAACAAAATATGAGCTGAATAAAGTGGTCAAGCAGTTGAATATTTTATAGGCAACCTGGAAGTTAATTCCTCTGTGGTTTGCTGGCTGCAGTCACACTCTAACTCCAACGGGCCTTTGAGATGGTTCAGGAATAATGGCAAAGAACAGGGTCACATATATATGTAGGGGACTTTTGTGAAAATGTTCATATTATAGATTTTGTTGAGCCCTGAGACCTAATCAATTATAGTGTAGCAATAATACAAAGTAATACATGAATCCAGTGTAAAGAGACTCAAAAATATTTGAACATAGATTTTTTGTTAGAAAGTCTTTGAACTTATTGTTTTATTGACAGTTATTATTATTATTATTATTATTATTATTATTATTATTATTATTATTATTATTATTATTATTATTATTATTATTATTATTATTATTATTATTATTATTATTATGTTTTCTCAGAGAAGGTCTTTAAGGCCGTGGACACAAAACTCCATTCCTATACAATATGTTTTATTGAAACATTTTAAATCTACTTTTAAAAATGTTCAGAATATTAGAAATTTTTAGTTAGAAGTCAGCTTTTCTGTTATGTTGGAGTTCCATGTCTCTTAGCCAACATTCAAAGTAACAAAGGAAACACTGCGTTCAAGCAAGAGATGATTCCACAGGGGTATAACTCTGATTAGCAGGAATGTCGGGAAACACAGTCTGTGGCCCTTTAGCCAAATCAAAGGCAAAGATGCTCAGGACATTAATGATATTCATATACTTTGTAGAAGCCCAACGTGTAACAATTTAACAAACGTTTTTTTCTAAACTTTATAGATGCACATTCATATTTAATTAATATGTAAGGGTGTAAGGTCTGTGATTAATATAATGTTATACACAAGATGCAGCAGATTTTACAGAAGTAGTTAAAAAAAAATGTGCTCCTGAATTTGGCATGTTTATGAATACTTATAAACTTGCTAATACCTTCTTGCTCTACTTTTGTTGCTCTTTAAAAGGCATAAATTCACCAATATTCTTTCCAATGTGCCATTAGAAACAGTAAATGCATATATTGGGGAGTGATTTTTGTACTTTATATTTCACTGCATGCATGTAAATCACAATAAGCAAAGGTGTAATATAACTGTAATAAGCATAATAGCATCCCTGGCAACAGTAGCAAAAATATTACCTTGCTTTTTCTTTTTAAAAAGCAATAAGTTATGCAATTTCACATTTTTGATGCTGCAATAGTTTAATTACAGCGATTTTTGATATGATTATTCCTATTGTGAGAACTTTTTTCTTGGAATCTCTTAAAAACTTGACATTATCTGTGTATCCAGCTGTTCTGCCTCAGCAGACTGGGGTTGTGTCAACCTGATCTGTTAGGATTCATCTCCAGTTGGCCAACACGGATTTACTGAGTTTAAATTTCGAAGTAGCTTAATGCCTTGTAACCCTAACGTTTTCTAAGATCCTCATTTGTGTGCAATTTTCTTCATGTTTGTGTCTGTTGTGGGCAAGCTTGCATGACGAATCATGTGACCGTAGCCTTGCTGCACTGGTGACAACCATGTGTCCATGAACCGGTGGATAGAGAGGGAAGTGACATATCGAGTGGTCTGTCGGGCGAGGAACACACTGGCGTCCGTGCACATACATGCACACTTGCATACATGCACATGGTTCCTGGAACTGCTTTAATTAGGGCATGTGAGCCCTTATAAATTCCCCCTTTTCAGACCTGGGTCTTTCAGTTTCATACGAACCAAGAGAGTAGGAGGAAGGTGGGGAGAGAAGAGAGAGAGGAGGAGGCAGGATGGGAGTTTTTTTCTTACCCCCCCATTTTTTAACGGTGTCTCATTGTCTTGTGTTATATTTGCTTCTATCATTCTGAGAACGTCTGGTGTATTACTCTGAACTCTGTTCATGCGAAAATGAGAAATTACACCTCTGCGCTCAAACTGATGCGTCATCGTTTGTGTGAGGGTCATAATGAGATGCCAGCTTCTCCTTAAGACCACTGCAGGAACTCCACAGATTGTTTATTTCACTGCTTTGTTTAAACCCCCTTCTTAAGAAGGCTAGGCCTGGATTTCTGAATAACTTCACCACTTCTGTTGGCTGTTTCTCCATACTGAAACTGTAATAGCTCGGGGATGACTACATGCTGTCTGTAATCCAGGCTT